ATTCAAATTCTCGACGTGTCACACATTTTTCAAGCTGATACGAAACGTTAGAAATCTACAAGTGTACAAAGAAAGTGGAAAGTCGAGTTAGAAATATCTCATACGGAATAGTGTGAATGTCTAAGAAAAGTTAGATGCCTCGATCGCGCCAGCTAAAGGAATTAGTGAGCGAGAAAACATGTTCAACAATGTCACCTACGACTTCCTTCAGATACACTTCAAATGCTTTAAGAGGAAACTTTCCGCCTCGATATAACTTATTCACTTTGAATGTTTGAAATGTCAGAAAATATATACGTGTCATATCTAATTTTACAAAAATAAAAATTCCTTCGTCCTGGTATGTCTGAGGTGTTGAATACATTGAGATATTTTTTCTACGAAAAAAATCTTACTAATAGCACAAATGCGTTGGATGGATGTTTGTTAGACTTTACTACCTAAACTGCTGAACGAATGTCGATGAAATTTAGCATAGATATAGAGCTTAGTTCGGAATTATACATATACTACTTTTGTTTATTTTAATTCCACGCGGACAGAGTCACGAGCGAAAGCTAATAAAGATTTGATATAAAGATTGTGTGATTTTATAAGTTGGCTGATGAGCATAACATATTTTTCAACATTAAGCACAGTGCATTTACATACAAAATAATGAAGTATTATAACATGGTCATGTGGGAGTTCTTATGATGTCAACCGAATATTTTCGTTCACACTCCCCCAGATGCGTGAAATCCTATTTTACGGCTCGTATCCTTCCGCTTAGAGCATCTTTTGAATAGGCGCTGTCTGAAGTCGAGCGAATATTTGACTTACACCGTCTTGCAAAAGTTACATTAATAAAATTGATAAACGCAAATTTTTTAAGTAAATTGTGTAGTTAATTTTATTCTAAACTGTTTATCTTATTTAGAAACATAAAAATCACCGATTTCATAATATTTTCTACCTATTTCCACTAAATAGAAATTATTTTAGTTTTAATAAAAAGGTTAGGTGTTACTATTATAAAGAGGAAAGATTTATATTTTTGTTTACAAACAAAAAAAATCAATAAATTGAAATGACTTAAAAAACTACGTGGCCGATTTCAAATATTTTTTCACCATTAAAAAACTACATTATTAGTGAATATTACAGGCTAAATTTTTTTATTAATGTTTAATGTCACACGGGCGAAGTCGCGGGTAACAGCTATTTATATAAAGTTAATCCTTTAACAAGAAAACCTTTAAACAAAAGGTAAAATGGAATTTCACCTTTCATTGTTTTTCATAGTAACGATATTAGGAATTTATTAGTAGGTACCGATAACGAAATGAAACAAGAAATAAAACTTTCAGGGGCGCAAAGGGTCCCGCACGGACTGTGATTTATAGTTCGTTGCATTTTAATGAGGTCTTCAACAGTTTAGATGAATACTGTTGATAAAACTACGAACAGAAATAAAGTAAATTTAAAACAAAACAATAACTAAACATTAGAAAATTCTAGAAAAATACCCTTGGTAATAAAATTTTTCCTTCATCTTTGAAGAATAGGTAGCGGAACCTTTTTACTAATGAAGCTACAGTTTAACTCTAGACAGAGTTTCGATATAAAATTGATATTCATTCTCAATTAATTCTTCCTGATCCTCGTAGACTATGGGCTCTATGTTTTAGTAATTTATAGAAGGTATAAGTACTAATCAAACACAGGTATCCAACGTTCAGGTTAGTTGCGGCTCGGCTCTTAGTGACGTAGTATCTTGTAGTCATGTGAATTCATAGCGCTGAGTATGCAATATTATTACCCTTTGAGGGATGCTCCTTTGTGAGTCGACACTGTGCTGATGCATGTAGCTTATTACAATGCTAATTTAATGAACCATATCGGCAGTTACTGCTAAATATAACATACCTGTCGCCTGTGACTTCGTCTGCGCGGGTAAAAAGAACTTAGTAGTCTATGTCTCTCAGACTATGTATAACATCGATGCCAAATTTCAGCGATATTTGTTTAGTTGTTTTGGAGATACGTAACAAACATCCATCCATCCCTCCATCCATTCCTGCATCAATCCCTCCATCCACCCAAATGGATTTAATTAATTGTGATAGTCTCAGATATAAAAAAAACGGTAAATTAGATAGTATTTGTTTGTTAAACTCACATATAAGTATATTAAAGTTTGCTTTCTTCCATTAGTGCAGATTATCAGTACTAAAACTGTATTAAGGTACTGCCTTAATAACCACTTAACGGCTTTGTTACATTTATAATTTAGATTAAAAAATTTAAGAACCTGCAAGTTACTAGCAAAAGATATTCAAAAGACAATCGCTCGTGTGTAATGTAAGAAAGGACATTGTTAGACAAATGTTATATGTTGGGCGCGATGTGTCAGTGTACACGTAAGGAGGGGTTGAATAATTTACGAGTGCACTAACTTCGCTCAGTGCTCGCTACAGATGGCCCGACTTCATATATCAAAGCGGGCCGATGTTACAACTTCAATAAAACTTCACTGAAACTTATTCAAACGCGTCGGCCGGTGAAAGCTGTTTTTAACTTTTCCTCCCTCGAGATCAGCCAAATAAATAAAGAGTTAGTGAAGGTATAAAAGTTGATTTCTTCTTATGAAAATATTTGTATAAGGGGAGAAATTCTTTTCGTTTACTATGTTGACATTGTGATGATAAAATTTAGTTTGGTATTTCTTCTGTTTATTTTCTTTGTGTCTAGTTTCTATAAAAATGTATATCGTACATCATTTACAGCCACATTTATTGACGTTTTATATTTAAGGAATATCTTAGATTTGACATAACATAATGTTACAGATTCCTCTTAGCTTACCATAATTATTATTAATAAATTTGCCTTTATTAACTTACAATGACTTTTCTTTCAAAAGCATCATCATTTGATGCATATTTTCGTAGAACAAAGATCAAGAGATCAACGTATTGTAGTTTGACAAAGCTCAGCGCAGACACGCTGTTATGGCATATCCTTTGTTTCCACTTTGTTACACGCCTTGTTACAGATTCACGTGTTAGATGTGAAAAGCTTTTAGTATAAACTATCGTGTGATAAAGAAGTGTATTCTGATATACTAGAGATGTGTAGAAGAGTATTACTGTACCGATTCTACGAAGAGAAATGGGACGGTTGTGTTAATGTTTTGGTTATCTTTTAATTTGAATGCATTCATTTCGTTGTACACTCATTAATCAGTTTTTGATAATTGATCAATGATGTTTAATAATTAGTTGTTTGGGAAAAAGAGATAATTAATGATGTGTTGTGGAATCCATTATCGTGTCATTCCTCTGCTCTACATGTAAATAACATACATTTATATAATTAATCTGTTGAAGGTCTGCAGATTATACATTGTAAGTTACAATTTTTAAATAAAAAAAACGATGATTATTGTATCGTATAAATTAGAATTTACAGTTCGCTAGTGTACATAATACCACAAAGTTATGTGACACAACTTACAATAAACAGGGGCCACAAAACGAGGAACAAAGTGCAAAATACACAATGTTCCACTGCATGGTCGGTAGTTTAGTATTAGCCCCTGGGGATCAGTTGGTCACTACCGGAGAGAAACAGTCAAACTGTTTCTAATTTTATTTTAATTAATGGTATGCTCGACCCATATTTTAGTGTACGTAAATTCTAACTATGGAAATAAGCCTGTTGTAATTCTATTTTATTACTGTTTTAGAAAAAAAGGGATTAAAAATGTATGTAAACCTGAAATCGTATTTTAAAATACTGTTTATACTTGTGTAAATCATTTTTCAAACTACTTATTACTTTTGCTACTGCTTACATTCAGGTCTAAATTTCCAGTAATGGCAACAACTACTTTAAGACTAGACTCGCCCTAAAGATAAACCAGACGGTGTTGTCGCCACCAGAAAATCAAATATTAATGTAACATAACGTGAGATCTGGCTTTAAGTTTAACTGTTAAGCAAAAAGAGTTTTAGGAATAATTTATGAAGTACTGTTACTTTTTACCGCCAAGAACTGATTGGAGTTGTTGCTAGAAAAAGTCGTTAATATCGAAGATAAAATAAATTAATCTACAATTCAGTTAAGATTGTTTTATCTCTAGGTAAAAAGTCAAGTGTGCAAGCAACACGTGGCGCACGTCACAAGGCTCCGTATGAATGTAGCGCAAATAATCTTAACGCCCGAGCACATCGGAGTTCACACTTGTGCTCGAGTGTCCTCAAGACGTGCTCTTTCCGTCGAGTGTTTAGCGGATTTCGTAAACATCCTTTTATTTTTTATCTGCCACGTAATGGAATAATTTTCTCTAATGTCTCGATATTAATGGATTTTCCAATAAGATTCTATTTATCAATCATCAAGACAAATAAATTGTATTGCCTTTTTAGTCAAATTTAAAGGAACCCAGGTACTACTTAAGCTTCTATTGATAGCCTTTTAATTATTTTATTAAGGTTCCAACATAAAAAGTAATAGGTATTTAATCCACATTTAAATTTCACTTTAGTATTCCTTTCCCATTTTCATGAAGGTTAAAAGTTAAAAAAGAGAAATGATTGTATAACCGCTCGCAGCTCGTATTAAGGTTATCTAATCTAAAGGACATCGTGAAGGAACTCGATTAAATTAAGTTACTACTGAGAAAAAGAGAGCAATTTCGATTCTCATAGAATTCAAATGAGCTTCTTATTCAAATACAGAAGTGAAGAAAACACTAAAACAGACGGTTCCACGGCGTCGAGTTGAAAAAGCTTCGAGGTATATTTTTAAGCTTGTGATCGCTGACTTTGTGACTTTGCTGAAACGCTCTGTGAATAGAATCGAAATTGTTTCAATTGCCTTAAACGTTTCAGTGTTTGATAATTTTGCAGCGACGATGGAAATGAGGGTAGAAATAAATGAGAAAGAACGTCAAGAGGTATCATTTATTCAAATAACTATACCAAATTCTACAAGGTAATGCAGATAGCCGACAACGACATTTATTATGTACAAGCTGTTCCACTTTTAAGCGATTTTTTTACCGATTAGTTAAAGCTGTGGATCCTTGTTAGAAATTAAATGACGCTAATGGATACAGTTCATCTATATTTTTGTAGAATATTAAACAATTTTCATGTCAACAATTTATCGAACGTTATAATAAAATTATACGAATTATATTATGAAAATACAACAAACAACGAACGCCAATACTGATTGATATGTTACAGATATGGAATAGAATATATGATATATAGCTGACATGTATGTATGTTATTGGGTATTCTCTATTTACAAACATTAATTAAAATCTTATATAATGTTACATTTATCGACAGTAAGACATAGTTAGCGTAATCTATCCGAAAATATACATAAACTACGCGACAAGAGGCATTTTTACTATTTCAATACCTTATATAGTTCTAGAAAATTATATTCTTTAGATATACATTATAGTAAGGATACATTATCTATACATTTTTCTACTTAACAGTACACTTAACAGCTCCATTTATCATAAGCAAAAAAATTTGACAATGTACATATAACATACATTTCATATGTATAACTGTACTGTACATACAAAATCGTTGAATAAAGTCTACAAGACTATGTTAGCAAACATTACATACGCATAATTAATATTGTGTCCAAGTTTTGGCTGGAAAAAAAAAACATAAATTAACAATAAATAATATGTTTTATTATATCCACATTATTGCAATTAAAAATTAGTGTATTCATACCTTTATAATGCATATCCCGATGCATACTTGGACAGGTTTTTCCAGGATACTGAAAAAAAAAATAATGATAAATCAATCATTTCAATCATAAATTTAATAAACAATTCACGTTAAAGATGTTTGTCGATAGCAAATAAAGTACTAAAAAATAACTTAAACATACTTTTTTACAGTAAAAACGATGACGATAACATATGTCAAGTTAACCTTAATACCCTTCATACGTTGCCCCTTATGCATGCAATAAATTAGCGAGCAGTCGAAGTGAAAAGCTGCTAGCAATTAACAACTTTCTAAATTATTGAAACCAGAGCTGCATGAACTTTTACGATGAAAATTTTACTGAAGGGAGGCTTGTTGGAAACATTTTCAGTAACATATTAAAACAAGTAAGCTGAGACTTTGAATTACAAGGGTTTAAAAATAGCAAAAATATTAAAACACGTAGTAATCAAGAGGTGAAGGTATATTTAAGGATTTTCATTTCGCAACTTTCATATTTCTTGCAATTTTTTCAAATGACTTTTAAAACATGTTGCAATATATATTAGTTTCGGGCATATTATTTTGTTATCAAAATATATGTATCTATTATTAATAATAGTACCATAATATATTTACATAGTTATGTACATTATTTGTTGTTAGATTGTAATACACTGTGTATAATAAAAGAAATCAAAGGTACCTTGCTCAAGTCGAAGTCGATGTTGGTCCTGACCGCTCGGTGGTGCAGCGGCTGCGGGGGGCGGAAGTTATTACCCAGCGGCGCCTTGGGGTGACGAGCATCACCTTGCATCAAGCGACGTAATCCGTGTAACTGAAATATAAAACTCTGTTATATAGTGTATATTCTGATTTAAAGTAAATCTACGAATATCTTTGTATGAGTTAGAATTAAGAATAGTAAAGTCATGTGAAGCGTAAAAGTTTCCATTGATTTTTCTTCATTTTCAATAGCTTTAATGGAAAAACTCGGACAAAAACTACCGTAAGTTGATTCATCTGTACAATCAGTGAATTTTCCGAAAAAAAAAAGTGATCGGTTTTCTATTGTTATTCGCAATAGCAGGGGTAAATCATTGAATCTCAGAAACGATTTCTAGTAAATTGAAATTTCCTTCTTCCTTTAATGTAGTGTCGAGCGTTGTTCAGGTAAGGTCTGAGCGCCGCCGCCGAGCGCCCCCTGTCGGGATTAATGTTCCCAACACACGCGATACCCGCTATCTCATTCGCTTCGCGATTTTCCTTTATATCAAACAATTTGTTTGTAATTATAGTTTGTAATCAAAGTTGAAACTACTCTATCTGTGAATTGTAATTTAAATTTGTTTCCTAGTAGTATGAAAACTTTTGTTTATTTAGTTGTAGGGACTATATTAGTAATATACAATGTAATAGTATTTGTAATTGCTAAATTTTTCAACATTATATTTGTTACGTATGTATATGCGATTAACGATATGATGTAACATTCAAAATCAATTAGTAACAGATAAGAAGTAGAAGATAAACGATAATTGTTTCTCCTGAGCTCTTAAATTAAGCGTAAAAAGGTTTGGGTTGAGTTTAATTTATGTTAACATCACAAATAGATAAATACCTTTACAACACGAACATTGTTAACATACAACCGTTTGAAGTTATTTTAAGAGACAAATAAATCATTGTAACAAAATATGGAAGTTCGTGTTGCAAGTTGAATATATTTGTCAGTTATGAAATATCTTAACACGAAATTGGAACTGTGAATGTATACATTAGCAATATATTGTGTTTCAGACAAGAACCGCATGCCGTTCACTCAACTCCCCGCGAGATTGCAAGCAGTTTCCACTAGCACTTAATTTTCCCAACACAAACGGAAAACATAAACAATGATTTATAATAACAGCCATACAACGCGCTACTTTCAGTTTACTTTTAACACGTACATAATTCACGGCGGAGTCTTTGTCTAAAGGCGCGGGACGTGAGTTGTTTATTGTAGCGTGAGCGCAAATGAAAATGTTATTATGGCGCCCTCGACCACAGCCCGACTGTAACAATCATTTGATGCACTATTTCGTTTATATTCTCATTTTTGCCTTTACACACTGTAGCAGAATGAAATGTTATAAATAGTATTTACTGTCAGCGTCTAGTATACATTACTAAAGGTCTACAATATTGTATAAACAGACGTTTTTATTTACATAATGTATGAAGATAACCATAATGTCTGCAAGCTAAAGACTAGATTAGACTTACTTTATTCTCAGAACCATTTACCGATAAACTCTGTTACTATACTATTTGATGTCTACACAAATTCACAACGGGATCATATGCACGAGAGTATTCCTTACATACTGAATATCTGTTTTCTTTGTCCTACTAACAAATGTAAGTAACCTATTTGGTTTAATAATTTTATCTTGATTAATGCAAATATTATACATGTTAGTTAAAATTTAATATGATATAAATACCTGTTGCTTAGTAATATATATTGGTTTATTAATAATGATCCAGGTAACGGTCTCGAAGCAGGCGGGTGCCGTCGTTGACCCGTCGTATGTCATGTAGTAGTCCGTATCGGGTAGCAGACCGCGTACTGATAACCTGTTCACTGGCATCTCAGCACCTTTTATTAAATAAGCGATCATAAACAGTTAAAATGTAATTTGAACAAAATTGTTATCTTCTCTTTATTATTAGGATTACTAACACTAGACAATAAGCTTTTTTACTAACAAATAATGAGATTTTCTTGAAATAAAGATTATTATTTATTGTTATTATAAATATAAACATTGTTAATACAAGGAAATTAACTATAATTTAATTTATAGAATTTTTTTTTATAGGTTGACATCTAGTTGAAGTTTTGTATGATTGTTGGAGAAAATATGTTTGATTTTGGTAATTATACTAAAGTATATATAAGTGTAAAGGTTTATCTTATAAATATTCATAATTTAAATTGTTAGATCTAACGTAAATATAGTGTTTTATTTTAAAAAGTTTAAGTGAATTTTTAATAAGCCTTACCGCCATATTTGATATTTTCTAATTCTTCCGTCAATATTCTAAGTTCTGGATTAGATAGGTCTCCCAACTAAAACAAAAATTACAAATATAAGTTAAGAAAATAACCTAAATGTAGTGTAACTTTCCGAAGCTTACCAGACAATTATAGTACAATAATGTCTCTAACTTTAATTAAGGAAAGTCGTAAAACGACCGAATAATTACTTTTCTTTTGAACTTGAAAGTTAACGGCTGACTTTATAGAGTTAAACCAGTTTAAACTAGACTTAATAATTTTGAAAATCTAATCGGTTGACTGTTAAATCGAGTATATGTTTAGTTAATTGAAATTTAGTTCTGAATTTTAATTAAATGTAGGGTTAAGGAGGCTGATATTTTCTATTGATTTATTTCGACGTTTACATTTTGACATTATTTTAAAATTAGATTAGTTTTAGTACAGAAATAAAAGATAAACGAGTTAACGTTTTTTTAAGAGTTTTTAAATATAGTTAAAAGGAGTAAAACGTCAAATTTTTCTACGTTTTAGTTTTTTCCACGGTCACCCCTACATAACTGCTAATATATTTCACTACCAAAATAAACATTTTATAGCTAAAAGTTCCTTTTCCTCATCATCTAATGCACAAAATAATTGATGATATAACATTTTTATTCGCAGTGTGTTTATACTTTTTTCGCAGACAGCTCTTAATTTGAACTAATAGCGTCGGCGGCTCTTCCAATGCCGCACAGAAAATTCCAATTTCCTTAATTAACTACCTCCAGTTTGGGTGAAGCTACAAAAAGGTGCGCCCTTGTTGATAACGCTTCGTCGATAACTGCGATCGTGTTAAAGCGCACTTCTATTTTTCGATAATCCATAACTTTGACGAGAATCACGCTCCTGCACTTTTATCGTTAATTATTTTCAAATGCTACCTACCTGCTTACCTTTACTACCATTTTCATAGACTAGTTACTTAAGCAGCCCTTAGTATAATTTTATCTTAATGATTGATAGCTTCAAACATCAAAGAAATTAAAAAATACGATTAAGTCTGAAGAATGTATCTTCACACATTCAAAAAAATATTAATTATCCTGAAACGTATTATAAAACGTGTAAAACATTACAAAATATTACTTACTTGTAACAACAATGATATTGAGACGATTCCTTGAGCTTTATGTAAAGCTTCCGAAAAGTTTGAGTAAAGCTGCGAGTTGAAACCGAAGATTTGTATCTGTAATCAAATAAGTTATTAAATATTTACACAACCGAAATGAAAATTGATTTTTTTCCTTTTCCAAAAGTAATAAGTGAAAAGAATGTTAAAGTGAAACGAAATAGTCACAAAAATAAATTCGAAAAATTAAAAGGCACCAGTTTAAAGTTTTGTTAACAATTCATGTTAAGATCCAAACCTACCATGATTTAACATAAAAAAATAACTGTGTCAATTAATCTGATAAGTTGATTAATATTATATGAACCATTTATAACAATTAAAAAAAAACATTCCATGGTTGAGAAATGCATTCATACAAAAAGTGGGAAAATCAAAGATAAAAGACGAATAAAATCGGATACACGGGAGGATAAGCACATGATTTTAGATTTAACGCGTTTGCGTAAGAATTTGTCACATAAATAAACAGGAGGCATGCTTGAGTTGGCTCGCAGCCGTTCCTCTGGATTACATTTGGGATTTGAACGTCTCCGCGAGGAAAGTGCGGCGCGACTGCGCGATGCGTGAACAAAACATATGTTGCGAATTCTTTTGATAAACTCTACCAGGAAATCTTCGCTTACTTTTTATTATATGTACAAGGAAATAAATCGAATGTTCGAATCTTTATAAATACAATATTTGCTATGTAAATTTTAATTTTTTAATGCTATAATTTACGTTTTTAAATTTATATATCTTTAAAATTATGCAGACCAAAATGCCATTTTTAATTTTTTTAAACACCTTAAATCTTCATACAATTCTTCAAAAGAATGACATAGTTGCTAGTTGGGAGGTTAGTTAGCCCTATATTTAAAAATTGTCAATTTCATTAAGCGCAGATCATTGTTACTAAAATAACTGTTTACTTTTAAAGAGTGTGTATAGACAACGTAACAACAGACAAAACACATATCAAAATTATACTGCTTTTGTGGTTTAATTAGTGTGTAGTTACAATTAATATCACCTGAAATGTTTGTATTAGAAAGTGTCTGCAATCAATTAGTGCCGTCTGTCTCTCTGTTTACTGAACGAACTTCGGCGGAACTACAACAATGGATTATTGTGCGCTCAATACCATTTAGTGTTGGCGCTTGTGTTTAAACTTGCTTCTGTTATATTAATCTGTTGTTACTAAAATTATACTTTGTGTTCTAACTGTAAAAATGAGACAATTTGATGCGATTTAAATAGACTTAAACTAAAACATAAATACTATTTAAAAAGTAAACTAGAAACGTTTTAAACGGCAGTTTCTTAAACAACTATTTAAATAAAAAAGTATATTATAAATATAACTGAGTACCTAATGAAGATGCATTTTACTAATAACTCTTAAAGTATAATAAACGTTTTTCTACTAACGCGTATAAAGCGGCAATAAGAAAAACAGAAAATATGATATCGGCACTCACCTCGGCGGGAAATGAATATCCATTGATGGCGTGCTCGGATCCGAATTGATCGTGAAGTCCATAATGAATATGTATCTCGTGAAATTGATACTTGTAGGAGAGCGGACCGCCCGTGATGTTTATGTGATGCCGCGTCTCGTTCTCCACAGTGAATATCACCGAGTGGCCAGTGTTGCTTATCAGACCGTTTATCTATCAACAGTATTGATTTATTTATCTGATTCTTTATTAATTTTTGTATTCAATAAAATTAAAAGCATATTTTTTATAAACATTGCTATTAAAAAAGATTTTAAAAGCTGTTAATCTGGTTTATTTTATAGTAGTTAGGTTTTAATTGAACGAAATAATTCATTAATAAAATTGATATATGTAATTTAAAGAAGATGTAAACGGTTAGTAATTCTTTTGGCAAAAAACATTGAATTCGAAATTACGTTGACAGTGAGTTAAAAAATAATGGTTTAAATATAAATAACTAACATCAGAATCAATCTATACTTGATGCTAAAAATCGTTAAACTTATATAAATAACGTATACTTACTCTGTGTTTATCTATGTGTAAAAAGCGAAGGTTGGGGTCGAAGAGTAACTTTTCCGGCTCGAGGTTCACGGGGGACTGGCGCCGGCCTTTGTTGCACAGGGACCATTCCGGGTTGATCAGACCCCAGAAAGCCGGCCCTAAAAGTTTATTTACAGATCAATTCATGATTACAAGTACACCAATGAATAAAAAACCTTTAAATCGAATCACTATAAAATTATGTTAGTTGAGGTCCCACTTTGTCCAATCCAATCCAAAAGTCCAATAAATGGTTACGGTTAACAATTTTTTTCAACTTTTTTAATAAACAAATGGCTTGGCACAATCAATGCTAGTGCAGCGGAGGCAGTAAACGCATTAGCGTCTGCAAGGTATTTCAATATTGCAGAAAACTGCGGCGTAAAAGTAGCCAAAGTACTTTGGATCGCGTTCATGGTTTTATTATTTATGACCTTGAAAATTGCATGAGTAAGCCAGCGCTGTGGTTACCGCCCCGCCTTCTTTATGGCCACGCGCTAAGTGAACCTTGCTTTAGACAATTCTTTTATTGCTTTTTGGCAATTTGCGTCTACTACAGTAACTATGGATTCTAAGGTATCGTTTAATTTGTATGGACCTCATTTAACGTGTGAGTTTCTACTGCTTCAATAATTAACTATAGTCGAAATCTGTAGAAATAAGATATTATAAGAAACCTATCTAAACAATTTTACCTTTAAAAAGCTGTAATCACAGACTTATTAAGAACAAACATGTTTATATCCTCATTTTAAAAACAAAACGGTATTAGCTGTCAAATAATAAAATGGGTTAATTTCCCTTTTCCATTGAATTCAACTATGCATACTAGTTTACAACTATATTTTAACTACCTATATTTTTCGTAATGAGTATTAAGGATTTGTAGAAAACCATAACAGCTTAAGTCAGCCGGTCGCACAATAACTTTTGCAAGTTTTCTCGTATCCAGTTAGACGTGAGTTACGTACAAAATGCTAACTACCGTGTACCCAAACTAATAATAAGGCTAACAGTCGAGTTAAACCGATAAAGTTTTCTGCAACGTGTATTGCTTCCTATATTAAACTGCTAGAATTAGATTTGTATAACACTAGCTGTAGCTCGCGACTTCGTGCATGTGGTATTAAAAAAAATTAGTAAAAATGTAACCTATGTTACTCACTAATAACGTAGCTTTTTTATGTTACAAGAATTTTTGAAATCGGTTTAGAAGTGATTGAGTTATTTCAATACATACAAAAATACAAATCTTTCCTCTTTATAATATTAGTATAGGTAAAAGATAATAATTTGAATATGAATACAATATAAAGAACGCTAATTACAAATTTATTCATATAATATATAGTGTCATAACTTATGTAATTGCTTAAATAACATTTAATTTCATCAATATTTTCTAATTCCGTCGTAACTTAAAAACAGATTTTCACATATTCAGAAACTTAATTCGTAATACTATAACAATATAAGTCTTTTATAATATTATCTACGTAGGAACAATTCCAATTTCCAACGTAGGAAAGACAATTTGATACGATAACACACCTCACGAACTTGTGCGAAACGCAATATGAATGCATGATAAATCGCCCGTATAAATTTCACGTCACGTAAACCGTCAAAATGTTATCGGCGCAGAGAAATTGATACTACTCACAATCAGAATATTCGCGGAGGGATTGGGGTAGGTCAATAAACTCCGATTCGAATATTTTGTACAGAAAACGCTAGGATTAAAACAAAAGACACGATTCTTTACTTTTTTATATAACCTCTTCCTTTGTAGTGCACGATGTACGATTAAAATTAATGAACATAACCAAAAACAAATGAATTCCGATGTTAAAATCTACTTCATCTAATATTATAAATGCAAAAGTTTAGATGGATGTTTGTTGGTTTGTAGTCTAAATGGCTGAACGGATCTGGATGAAATTAGGCATAAATGTAGAACATAGTCAGGAAGAGCACAACTTACTTCTGTTTTTTTTCCACGCGGATGGAGTAGCCAAAAGCTAATACTCTAAGATTTTAATTTTATATTTATGTTTTAGTATGGTTAACATTCAATGCTATGTTGCTATTTGTATAATTGTGTATTGGAGTTGAGTACTCACCTGAAATACCGTCGTAGGTCCACCATTCCTCCCAGCTGACGCCGCTCACGGCTGCAATCACATTCCATCTAATTAAGTTTGCACATCTTATTAGGGGCCAAAATATACTTCCTTGAGTCTTAAGTTACGAATGCAAAAGAGAATTAATAAATAAAATGAAAACATTCTATTTTATCGTTTTGATTTAGATAAAATCTTGTAATTACAACGCAATGGTTCACAGATTCATGCTTAAAATTATTTTAACCGTATCAAAGATGTCAGAGGATCCGAGGGTTGCCATTTAAATAATAATTAACTATATACCAAAGTGGAATAATTGTAGTATTACACAAACATATTTATTACTAACCTTTCCCCATATATGAATCATGTATTGCGATTTTTCTTCCTTTAGCAAAACATAAAAATTTGTGAATATGACAATAAAATTAAAGGTTAACCACGACCGTAACAGATTTGCATGAGATTAAATTTTCTTATTAGACCTTCCCAAAGTACTCTTAATTAAGATTATGAAATTATGATACCCATAATATTTTGGAGCAATTAATTCGAAAATACTCGGCGAAGTAAATTCTTGCTCCTTAATTATTTATGAAGTGAATTTTCTTGTCATAAGATATTCCACTCTTTTAAGGAATGCCGGTAAATATATATTTTATAATTGCGAAATTTAACCTGATCAAGATATCCATTACTTGGTAATTTATAAAAAAAAGTAATTTTCGATGATTTATTTTTTGTTTATTTAAAAAAGTATTTAAAAAATTTATAAAAGGGCACGTTACGACATAATTCTAAAATGTAATACACTATACTTTAGGGTTAAAAATTATGATTACAGTAATAACGTAAATTCAGTAAATTTTAGTAGCTTTGAATTACACGCGAACAATTTGTACAGTTTAAGATGTACAATTTATGAGCGTCTCGTAAATCAAATCATTACATTCGGTAGTACAAAATTTAAAAAAAGAAACGGCAACACTAATACATATTCAGAAGTGTACAGTTGAAATGTATACCAATCTCGAAACTTACTCGATACATGGCTGATTTATGTTTTTAATTTAAATTTTTGCATTCGCCGGGCGAAGTTCGCCACGGACGCGCCGCTTGCATCGCAAATGTGTGTCGCAGAGATCGTCGCTCCTGACTCGATACAGGCCGACTGAGCTGTCGACTTTTAATCTTTTAATGCTACTCAACAAACTTCCACCTACTGTAATACCCTTCTATTCGGATAGCGTTTCGTTGGCAGACAGCTTTATACAATAAGTACGACTACTACAAAGTTATTATACGGTGATAATTCCCTGACTGAGACTAAAATTCTGACAACTAAGTACACAAATATCATCATCAACTTGCCCTTATCTTTACGGAAGGTCGACACAGCCGTCATATCTGAATCCACGCCCTTCTTAAGCATATCATCTTTCACACAGTCCATCCATACATCCTAGGTCTTCCTCTACATTTGTAGCCATCCACATTCGATCTTAACACTTTCTGGTTTATGTCACCATCCTCTCGTCTAACTAATTATAATTGACATCCATTGTCAGTGTACAACTAACTATATTTAATTTTATCTTTGTTAATAACTCAATGATGCGATACAAGAACATATGTAATATTAACTAGGCTTACGAGACTCCGGACAGTATGTTAGGTAGAATTTAGTGTAGCTTAGAGCAACTTTACCGTAGTTACAGCACCTGAGACTTTGTTCATCATTGTATCAAATATTTTAGTTCATTATGGCTTTAACATTGTATTTATTTACGATACTTAAATATTATAATAATCTTATAAACAAATAACTCTTTAAACATAGTTAAACTGTACAGTTATTTTAAAATATAAAGAAACAAAGCATAGAAGAAAAAAAATAGAAAAGAAAAAAGAAGATATGGCGAGTGCGATTTAATATTTGTTTAAAATTTCAATATTCTAGTTCACTTGGTGTTGTAAACTGATAAAATATACCCAATGAGATCAAGAAGAAGAATAGAATGACACGTCATTTGTCCTAATTGTTTCAGTTATTTAGGCATTTGACCGTTACAATGGAATTTACATACACACAAATCCATAATTAAACTTGCATACGCGTGATAACATCACCCTCTTTGTCAGTCGGGTAAAAATGCGAAGTATTCATTTCTATAATTTCGGTTGAAATATGCTCTATACATTCTCAAATAGTTTTGTAGTCATCTGTGTTGTTGAATCTTTTGTTGCTTAAAACGGCATGCATACTGAAATATAAGATTGAATTCTTATGCATTGTTGCATTTTGCAGACGGCATTTCTACGTGACGCAAGTGCTCGCTCGCCAGTCAGCATCTGCTTTACTCCCTTAACTCTCCACTGACTCCGAAAGACACCGCTTGTTTTAAAACGAATAAATTATTTCATATCTTCAACAAAATATAATAATGAATACATAGTTAAAGTACTGAAGTGACTGCAATTGATAGTGTTTGTTTAGTTGACGTATAAATGAAACAATATTACAAAGGTATATTGATGTCGGAATCAAATGTTGAAAACGTGAGCAATTCGCAGCGGACGGACTCTACAAAGAGCTTCAACCATGCATCGGAAATGAATCAGTTACCGTTTTGGGTTTGGCAAATGATACATCTCCATGTACCGCGATATTCTAAATTAAACTTTAATTTTAGCGCGATACCGTTGAATTTTGATCGACATAACTGAACTTAAACTGGCCGCAATACCTGGCGGGGACACATTGCACTCAAAGTTCACACATTTAAAATTCATAGTTTAAGTTCGTGAAATTTTAAGAATAAAAGATTACTTGTATTTCAATTAAGAAAATAGAATTGTAGGACCGTGAATGTAGACATTGTCTGGTTTTACACATTCGATAGGAGATGAGCTTAACAAAGGAATGGTAATGTCATTGATGTATGAAATGAATAAATAAAATCACGCGGAAAATAGGCAATTTCATGGTGCATTGAGCATCCTTTGCGTGGCAAGTGCAAGACTGCAGAGCAATCGTCTCTCTCGACGCCCGCATCATGAAATCTTAACCGAGGCGTAAATTCTAGACTCTTCCACTTGTGTATTAAGTTTAAATATCTTATTTAAACGTTTGAATTTCTGAGAATGTACAAGGTCTTTGACTAGTAATACAATGCTAGTATTCTAAGAGGTAAAATAAGATAATAAGGAATAAACCTCTAAGATTGAGCTCTGCATCTCCTTATAGTTGTGTATTTTTCGAATCCTGGTAACAATAGTGGAAGTGAATTTGGTTGTGCGCTTATGAGAACAATATTTTGGGGCCGTATATTGATGTAAGTGTGTTACGTATTCATGGTGTAGAGCGCACCGGCGGCGCTCACCGCCCGCCGCCCGCCGCCTGCCGCCCGTCGCGCTGTGAACTCCTACCTATGCAAATTTTACAATATTGCATTTGCTCGCCTCCAAGTATTTGTTGTTGCGATGATGCTAATGGATTTTCCTTTGTCTTTATGAAATTGAATGTAATCTTTTCAATGTTTCCTAATTGTATGCTATATTTTAGAAGGAAATTATCTCTGTAATTAGAATTAATATCTATACTGTTCTACAGAATTATGTTTATCCACAAATATTATATCTATAACTTTAAATATAAAATCATATAACTGTCTATATTTGTCTTAACCTGTGATGGGTAAGTAGAATAAGGGTAGCTCAAGTTAGGTATTGATATTATTAAATTCTATTTTTACAAACTTATAATACTTTTAATGAAGCTCTTTGTGTAAATGTACTTAAACATTTTTTGAAATAAAATGTTTCATGTAAAAATCTCTGCAAGGAATATTATTTCGTTCAAATTATAATTCAAATTTTAGTGCGGAGACAATATACACGGGGCGAAGTTAAATTAAAGTCGTATGCGGATTTGGCGGCGGCTCGCTTGAGCTTACGGCCGGCCGCGCCACCTGTGCCCGCCGCCCCGCACTACGCCAACCTCGCAACACCACTGAAAACACAATTTGCGGCGCGCCTTTTGTGACTACTGTTTACTTTTATGCAATTTGTTTTTCAACTTTATGCGCATTGCTTACATTCTAGTTTTCTAATCCGCCCGTTGCTTACTCTGTAATCATTTTTCTTTGGAATTTTAAACATAGCCTTACTGTTTACTGTGTGTGGTATTATAAATCTGTCATTAATTAATATATGGGAGGCTTATAGAACACCGACAAATCGAAACCGTAATTTACTCGTAATTACTAACACTTTAGTTATCTTTACTTTAGTTTATAATAATTATTTAATAACAAAACAATTAGGAACATTTGGTTCTTTAATAGCTTATTAAAACTTAACTTATGCGACATATTTAAAAGGATAGGTGACTTTTAAACAATAAAAGTAACCAATAAAAGAATGCTTCATGATTCATTTTGATTACGTAACATGTATCATAAAACAACAGGAAAAGTGTGTAAAGAAATAACTTTGTTAGCAAAGTTGACGCAAGGAATTTCCCGCGTTGTCTTTGATTTAAAAGGTGTGCAAATAAAGTAGTATAAAACAATGGAAGGAGAGTAAACAAGGTCATAAAGCACGTCACAAGAAAGAGCCTATATATAATCAGCTTAGTGATAAATTGGTAAACAGCACGCGAACGACACAGCTGCTTCCGCCGACAGTTTCATCGCTTACTTTCCGCACTGTCTTATTACAAAGAAACGTACCAACAATTAGTTTTATGTAAAACTCTAACATATTAACGAGTTCTAAAAACAAATGTTACATTGTATATGAAAAGCCTGAAGTAGTTATGAAAATGTTTTCTTTTATTTGTCAACGCCATCGTCACTTTTTCCCAACGGAAAGATTCCTGTTGGGCCCATCGGTGCATTTATAGATCGATCCAAAATGATTATTTTTTCAAATGAGACGTTCACGTTCATAGAATTAATTAGATTCATCGGCCCAAAGGAAAACACCCTGAATAGACAGAAGAATCTTAACTACACTTTAAAACATCTTCTCAGCTCTCACTCTTGATTTTACTTTTTCTTACTTATATCTTCTTGGATATAATTTATTCTTATAAACGGATGTTATTTTACTAATATAAAAAGGCATGTGACTATTAGAAAGAAAAAAGAATATTAAGAGCGCACACCTTTGACTAAACTGTCGCATAACAGTTGTGCGATTTTCGATTATTGCGCAGCCAATTGTTAGTTGCACAAATAAAAATCCAGTAGTGTGCGCACCTTCATATAAGCTCATAGGAATCAAAGCGAGAGTAAACAGTTGTGCGATAGTTTAGTTTCTGGTGTGTGCACGCTTTAAGATGGACTTACCTGAGAAGGAAAACAAAATCTGCAGTACCGTAGTAACAATAACCGCTTCAAGGTAGCTATGCATTGTCTACGACACTTTATCTCTCATTTCCAACATTGGTCATTTTTGTTACATTAACAAACTACATAGTATTTTAATTTGAATGCTCAAATCAAAGGTTGCTTAAAGTTAACTCGACCATTTTTTATTCTTCCCTTTTAGTGTTTCTAAGTCATATTCAAGTTGTTTTAAACTGAAACAAAAAATACAATGTATTAGTTATTTGAAATAAATCATGTGAATATTTTTTAGTTTTGAACGGAAATATTTTTGCGATGGTTCTTATAAGTATTAAAACCTAATTGATATTCAACAATACCTAGTTACGTTATTTTTCTGTACTTCGACAATATTCTTAATGTTTTATTCGCTTTTGTATGTATTGTCAAGAAGTATCGTGCATTATATAAGTGTGTTCTAAGATTTGTGCAAGATTTCCCAATGGATGTGACTGCGTTCACTTTAAAGCGCTTTTGTTCAGCAGTGTACACTTTCCTAGTATATTATGTTCTGGACTTCATTATTTTTACAAAATTTGTAATACGAAACTATGTATATAAATTTAAATTAATTAGGGAGGTCTGTAATAATTATTTTATTATTATAATTCGTAAGTTTTCTATGAAATTATAGCAATTTACTTGGACCTTGAGTAAGATATTATCCGTCGAGTTACGGACAGTAATTAGTCACCCATCCGACGTATGCAATTACAGTTAAATTATGTGGCAATATAATTATACTATATTGTCCTCGTACATGTTATACTGAATTACTGACAAATGTGTTTTAATTGATATTGTTTAAATTACGAATAAACATCAGTTAATATTTTTAAATAATTTCTAATATTATCTAAATGTAAACTTAAATGTATTTTTAATGACGTTGTAATTTTAAGAATTGCAAGGTAACCTTAAAATTTGAAATTATCGTAAATTATTTAAACCATTTACTTAAAGATGAAAAACTACAAATACACATGGCAAATTATAATATCTAGACAGTAAAATAAGAAAAATAATCAACAAGTTACTACTCAACCATTACATCCTAATAATGATGTATTTAGTTGGTAAACGTACTATGAACAATTTTATTTCATTCAGTATATTTTCATTAAATTGAGAGTACTTCAGTAAACGGGAACTCTGAACCATGTTTATGTTAGTTTTTTAATATTAGTATTTGAATAACTGTTGACGTTAATTATGTTGCGATCTCATCTCGTTAATTGATCCTATTTTTCACATTACGGCTAGATTTTTTATTGCAATATTTTTGTCACGGCAAACTTTTTTTACATTAGCTTTTTTTTCGTTTTTAAATACTAAATGCAATGGAACGTTCGCTGTTCAAATTTACTTTTTTGTTGAAATTCGTTACTTGTGTTTACAAAACGAGAGCGTTTAAATATATTTTTTCCATTAATTTTAAAAATTCATAGGTGTTTTTTAATGACGATAGGAATTTTATGGTGTCAATATTACTTTTTACTAATATGTAAATGTGAAAATTTAGATGGATGGATGGATGGATGTAGATATTGATAATAAAATGGATTTAAAAAGGAGTGTAGAGATTTAATACGCATATTTGCATATAGTTTTTTAAAGCTATTAACAGTCTAGCCATAAGTATCCGTAGTATATTTTAAGCAAAGACCGCAAATCATGTATCGTCATGAACATCTCTGCTAATATTTATAGACGGCGATAACCCGAGGGTCCTGGGCGCCTTCACAAACTTGCTGATAATGTAAATTTGATAGGTAGCGGCGTGTGCTGTAACACTTGAATGTCGGGTCCCAGGTTTGTTCGCCTCATCGTATAAATAAGCGTGAAGTAGTGCGGTAACACGCAAACTGGTCGTTAACCCTGCTACACGCCGTTCTAATGGAGAGGTGAGGGTGTCAGCGCGACCGCAACTAAACCGCTACAACGTCGCCCGTCAACCGGCGATTCTAATTAACGCACCTTGCTGTTGTTCGATACAGATACGGCATTCTCGAAATCATGTCACATATTCACTTAGGTGGCAGATTAAATCAGTGTTAGTAGCGGTAGAGTTTTTAGATTCATTTATCTATTTATCTATTATTTACTTAGAATCTCTACAATGTTGGTAACATCTTTATTAGAATTATACCCAAGTATACATATTAGCTTTATAAAGAACATTCAGGGTAGAATAATCACATGCTGAGCCAGAAGAGTCTGGAAAAAAATGCTCTGTTTATCCAAATATCATAATTACTTTATTCTTTTCTGTTTGATGTTATCAAGGAGATAGTTTCTCTAACGATTTGTGCTGTAATTAAGTTGTTGCTGTATGCAATACAAGATTGGTGCATTTTATGTAATGTAAAGTCGGTATTAAAAATTCCACATGAAACTTATATTCTCATTAAAATTCTCGAAGCAGAATTTCTTATTTTAAAGTGTAAACTGTGCTGCAAGGAGTTCGTATAGCAGTGCAGCTCCGGCTCTCGCTTTCGGCCAAAGCCGCATTATTAAATATACGCGATTGCGAACACAAACGCAAACAGAACCTTTCGGTATAATTTTCATTAAGCATTACTGAGAATCATAATATCGTTTCCGATAGCAATGGAATACGTCAATAGCTTTTTTTTAAACATATGAATGGAATGGAATCCGCGCCGGGTATGTCAGGGAAATATTTTGAAAAGGTCTGCTTTTTCAAAGCCACGTCGTCGTCGTATTGAATGCGTTTTAATGAAAAAACATGCGCCGATTCGCAACAGTCAAGGGAATTAAAGCCTCCGCCCGGAGCTCGCGATTCCAAATGCATCGCTCGGAATTTTCATTTTGTCCGAAATAATATTTCCATTGGAAATTTCGAAGCACTTATCACTTTGAAGTTATTATTTTAATTCGTTCGAAGAGTCTTTGATTTTACCTTTTTACATTATTCGTTAAATGTTTTTAAAAATCAATCGATTACATTAGTTTAATGTTTTTTTAATAAACTATAGGTTTCATGCATGTTAATCCGATGGATAAAAATAGAATGTAATTTTTTATTTGGCTTAACGCCTTGTATATTTTCTTGAATATCTATTGCGTTGTTAATTATGTATTTTTGATACGGGTGCTTGTTGCTTTAATAAAATATTAAGATCTTTTATTCCATGTTTATTGCAGTAAAAGAGTAACTATAATTTATTGATTTGGTTATTTTATAGGGAGGATGGTGTTATAACAAGATAATAATAGTACACGTACATTTGTAAGTCTTTTTTTTGTTATTGATTTAATTGTATAAATTTTGTAAATAAACACTTATATAGTAGATAAAAACAAAAGACTATTACGTAGTCTAGAATTAAACATTTTTTTAGGATCCTATTGGTTATAAAAATAGAAGTACGATTAGAAGTACGATTAAACATAGAAGTAAGATTAAGTAAGATTAGAAGTACGGTTACGATAGGAAGTAAGATTTTAAAAGCACATTAAAATGGTCAACTTTGAGATACTTTAAAAAAAAGAGTAATGTATTAATTTCCACGTAATTTATTGAACCCATAAGCTTAAATTTGTTGTTGTTTATACAAATATTTCAAATAGTCAAAATGATCGCAACTGCATTTAGTTTATTTTTAAAACAATAAGTACATTTAACAACTTACAGATAATTTACGCTTGTTTGTTAAAGTTAGGGTCCCAATTTAGTAGTTATAATAGTTATTAAAGTGATTTAGGACACCGCACTATACTAGACTTGTACAATAAATTATTTCGATTGTGTTATAGGTGCTTTATTATCAAGAAACCGATTAATTATTTGTTCAGTCTGAAATTCGGTGAATATCATATTTTTTAGGGTACGAAAATTATTAACATGACATTACTGAATAATAATTGCTCTATATCATTTTAAATTTAATTTTCTTCACTTATGTAACAATTAAAAAAGATACACGAAATTTTAAAATAGGTAATACATAGAAAAAAAATTAAAACAAATTCCACTTACCGGATTAAATTTTTAAATAGTATACAATACCCCGATGTTTTTTTTAATCTCAACACTTTACAACTAAATAGTCCTTTAGAAAAAATCACAAGTTACTTTAACATAAGTTCAGGCTACGTATTTGGTTACGAGAGTGCAAAAAGTTCCCGCCGCGTAGCACACGCACCAATTTAACGTGTAGTCCACTCGCAAGCGAATGCGCGAAGCAACTGAAGGCATGTTATACTGGATACCGTATTCAACGCATTTCCACCAGCCTACCTTTCAAGTTTCCCTCGCATTGTTGTACGTAAATTGTTAAAGTAACAAAATGTTGATTTCGCAATCACTATTGTATGCCTAAAGTCTTTAAGGTGTGATTTTCTTTGAACACAATTGAACTTATTACTTTTCCGAATGCGAGATATCCTAAGGTATTTCGACATGATGCTAAAAGGGTGTAAGTAGATTAACAGTTCGTTCAAATTTAAATCTTTTTACAAGGGAATACGGTTTAAAATCTAAAGTGCAAGAACGCGCAGATAGTGTAATAAAACCGAATACTCGCTTGAGTTTTTCTGTGTTAGAAGGAGATAAATATAGGTTTAAGTAGCCAAGGGTACGGCCTACACAAATTTTGTAGTGGGGATGATCTTAAATTTGTTTTAAGAATAAGTGTAAGACAGAATAAAAAGACGGATTTCTAAAGATCGTTGCTTCGGATTTTTTTTTCTACTTGGAAAAATTGTTCAATGTAAAGCTGTAAATACATAAACTAAAAGAAATAAAACACTTATTAAACGAAACTGCATAAGAACTCATTCATAAAACATGTGATGCAGTCTCTCAAAGGACTGAACTCAAAGCGTAGTAAAAATGTAGTTTATTTTGTTAAAGAAGAAAGCCTGTGTAGAACGAAGAAAACGCCACATGTCAGACCATGAATAAAACAGGAGCTATGTTTCAGACTTTTAAAAGTTTTACCAATATTTTTCTACGTAAAATGTTTATATTTTTTACATTGTATATTCATTACACATATATGTTTTCTTACTAATATTCTTCATTTCGATATTCTTGTTGAACTTTGGATCCATCCATCGTTTTGATCCAACATTCATTTGTCCGGATGGATGTTTGTGAATACATATCTCCAAAACGGTTCAATTTGCATGTAAGTCGTTGACAAAAGCTGGTAATATTTAAATAACACCTAATTTGAATACGACAACTAAGTTATTACCTGTAAACATTCTTTGTTAAAACTTTTCTTAACTAACAAAACTTAGCAACACAAGAACGAATGATATGTTTTTTATTCAAGTTGTATTAACAAAAAATGCCATAAGGCAAAACATTTCATATGCATAATAAGCTATGAAGCTTCCTTCATTGAAATGTTGCTTAAAATATCGACAGGAGTTACTAATAGCTATCGCTTTTTTTGTCTTCGTTACATTATATCAGTAAAATAAAATTAAATAGACTTGTATATTGCCTATAAACAGAGTCTAATGCACGTCCATATTATATAGTTATGTATTTAAGTGGGTTCAAAGTAGTAATTTGACGATGGTCAATAGCTGTAATAACTTTCCTCTTAATCGTCTGTAATGTGTTCTGAAATAATATAATGTATATAGTAAAGCAATTTATGACTCGGTTGCTTGTCCCTAAATTTGAGCAATAAATTATGGTTTACTTTGTCGTTTATGAGGGCTGCTGTAGACATAACCCTGTGCGGAACATGTGTAACAGATTGCGGCAATAAGGGAAATTGTCTTTTTTATGGACGCTTGCCGACAACCTTAAGTATCCAGCGGAGGAACAAGGTGTTACCGCTCCAGCCGCTTCAGTCACGCACTTATTTTCCTCTCATTTTCTTCCAGATTGATATATGAATAATTTTGTTTGTTATTACAAAACCCTCATAGATGATCATACACTTATGTAACTATAATACAAAAATTATTTAACATATTGAAATTAATTTCACGGTTTGCAATCATTTTATTAATTTGTACAACAATGGGAAATATATAACTTAAAAAATCATGAAGTATCACCTCAAAATGTCGTAAAGCTCATGAGATAACTTTTATTTTTTTTAAAAAAAGCCATAAGTTTCCATTCACGTAACTAGTTCCACTTTGAAATTATTGCCTTTGCGGCCGTTTGTCTTCTCTACCTGAGAGGTGTCCAGTGTGAACTGAATCCTGAAGTTAATTTCACGGGGAATTTCTTCCAGTGTAAGAAAGCGAATTTATTTTAAAGCTCTCTGGTGCAAAATAGAATTAATTCATCTATTCTAGAGACAAGATATATTAACTAATTTCATTGAATTTTATATGACCATTTGTAAGTTAAAAGAAATAGCTGAAATTGGGAATTGGTTAATTTTAACAGAAAGGCTAGGATACATTCACAAAGTTTTCAAATTAATAATAATGAATGGTTTATTGTTTCACTTTTGAAAATATACATTTTATGAAAACCTTGGCTCCTGCACTAGGTTCCCCTGTGCTGTAGCTGTAGGAGCCAATCCCTTTCCCCATTTATAACTAGAAATACTTCTTCATAAGTGTCTAAACAAAAAAAGACAAAGAAAAACATTACAATTATTATTATAAAAACAAAGAAAAAGACTTATATTTTTTATTGATTTGAACATATGTATATTCAATATTGAAGTTAAATAACATTGGTTAAATGTTAATTTAAAATCTTATTTATAGATATTTATTCTTAAATAGATATTTAAAATATTTAAATTTTTTAAAATATTTAAATATCTATTTAATTAGTATACTTAAATTATTTGCCTATTTTTTTATTGTATTATTAGAGAAATCAGACACAATAGCCTTTAAACACACGTACATATAATATGTAATACATTTTCCGACATTATCTCTCTAAACGTTTGCCGCTTTTACGAAACTTGTACGCCATTATTTCCTTGACATATTTCACAATAGCAGAACACTAAAGCAACATTTTATCTAAAGCAGAATTCTTGTTGCATCTTCGTAAGTTTTTAATAAAAAATCACCTGTTGTAGCGTTTTATTAGAAAAATGGAGTCTGGATGATTTGTGCTCTCTTAAATCTTTTTCATATAAAATAATGAATTTGTGTGAAAAATGTGATTTAATATTTACGTTTTTAATTGTGTACATATATTGTTTAAATTTACAAAATTATTTTAAATCATAAATGCAAAAAAATATTTAGAAATACAATTTCCTCAAGTCAATCACTAGGCGCAATGAAGTCACAGCTATTGTCAGGATTCAATCCTAATAGACATTTAATTTAACTTTGTAATTGGCAGATGAACAAATATTTTTGTATATAAAATATCGCTTATTTTGATTACAAGCGGGACAATGTCTTTTCTAGCCTGACATTTAAACAATGGAATTTGATAAGAGAGATGTCAGTTGATTTGAATTGCAAGTTCGTAGAGTTTTCGTAGCTTTGTAGCAATCTCGTAGCTTACCGCCTACAGGTACACAATTAGTCCAATCTACATTTTTAATTCAATGTATTTCGTACTCTAGATTTATTTATTGTTTGTAAATTTATTTATAAAATCAGATAGTATACGCTGTGGAGATAAGTGTGATGGAATTTGAAAAATGATTCACTTCATTTACAAAGAGTATCAAAAGCTGTGAACACAAAAGGAACCCATCACTCAGAAGTAAGTATGCAGTAAAGAATAGCTGATGTCAAAAGCACTTCCATTCAATGATACTCCGCCGAATGAATTATTCAGTATCGATGTTTATTGCTTTTAACTTTTGGAGTTCAATACATTGTTAATGCGGTCGAATATTTCGAATTGATATTGTGACAATATTAAAAACTTTACACAATTACAATATGCTTAAAGTGAAAATTTAATACTGCACCATTATATTTTAAATTGTCTCTTGTACTTAAATAAAAAAGCATATTTTCAATCTAAGTTTTTTTATATTCCAAATCATCATGTATCACTAGAGGGCGCTAAAAAGATTGTAACAACTCGTGGATGGTCATTATCTTTACGTACTTCAATATTTAAGTATATTTATTTAAGGAAATTTAACGACTTACGATAACTAAATAATGACTTAAAGTATATTTACATTAGATTTTACTCGCGACTCAGTGTGCGTTGAATTAAAAAAAAAACAAAACTGAGTAGCCTATGTGTTCTTCCAGACTATCCTCTACATCTATGTCAAATTTCATCAAGATCCATCAGACTCTAACAAACATCCATCCATTCATCTAAACTTTCGCATTTATAATATTAGTAAGAAGTAAGATAGATGTGTTTGTTTGAATATTAATTTAATATTTATTATAAACTTTTAACCTCAAAGTCAGGAGTAGTAAAATGATAAATCTTAGTAAATGTTAAACAGATCGTCACTTGAAATGAACTTAATTCAAGTTAGAATAGGAAGTGACAATAAACATGGGTACAATAAGCTGTCTGTTGTTATCGCACTCTGACAAACATTCCCAGTAGTTCATTGTAAACTTATGCCCGTTAATAACGAAAACTTTGTGGCTGAAGTGGCTTGCTCGCTCTTCAGATGCTACATGGAAATATTATATCATATCTACAGTCTTAAATAAACCAAATATAAGTTATTGCAAGAAGCTAAAGAAAATACATTTTAGTTGAAAACTTTTAACCGTCTTATTTCTACACAAACAACTAAGTTATGCATTCTGATGATCAATTAATTTACTTGGATCAGTTGTAAAAAACAACTTGAGTTTTTAAGGGCGTCAAAATGATCGTTTTTCTGACAATTCCTAGGGCTACCAGCTGAGAAGTACACATATTGAAATATTGCTATTTTGTCGATATAAAAGTAATACGAAACCCAATATTCGAACACAAGTCATAGTAATAAAAGAGCGCACAATGTAGAGCAAGTGTAGCGAAAGCTTGTGCAGATAGCGGGCGAGTTAACGCACCACCGCAACAACTGTACCTCGTAGACTTTTAATCTCACGAGAACACAAGTGGTTTCACTATGTTCCTGTTAGAATACGATAGAAAAACAAAGAGCATGACGTACGGGTACAAATTGCTTGCTGTTGTTTTCATTTTATGTCGATTTGTGATTACCCTCATTGAGAAAAACCTGTGTGCTCATAGTCTTTATAATAAACAC